CTTGTTGTGTAGTGAGTCACGCGGTGAGACCGAGTCGGGTATGTGGGAAGCATGATCTCGGCCGTGTACGCCGGTCCTTGACTCCTAGGAGATATAGAGCATAGCTTAGGACCTAAAAATAAAATCAATCAATCGTAGCGGGCCAAGAGCTTACGTTATACGGCGACGAATTATTCAATGGCACAAGTTGTCTAGTTTTCATAAATTTCAGTGGAAGGCCCTGGTAGATCTCGTACCCAACTTCGTCTTGGTTGTCGACAATGATCCTATCGAAGAAAACAAAGAGACCAAAGGTTGACACTATCATGGCAAGTGTCAACGAGTGTGACGGAAACCGAGTTGGTGATGAATAAATCGATTTAATAAACTATATGAGGAGAAAAGCTAACCCTAAATTACGCCCTCAGGGCTCCATACATGCAATGAGCAAGGCAGTGTAGGTGCTTGAACATGAAACACCTACACGTGACATAAATGCCAATCTAGTCTTGGCATTATTCAGCAAACACCTACACGTGACATAAATGCCAATCTAGTCTTGGCATTATTCAGCAAACACCTACACCCCATGTATATAGATCTCGCTGTAGTTACAGTCTCTTAAGGGTGGCAAAGGTAAGATTGTCGAAATGACTGGGGTTAGATCCCTGTGCATATCGATTAGATTGGTTTAACCTTCATGCAGGCCCATATCTAGCAACTTGACTAGTTATGCATGCAAGGGGTACTATCCAATGACATTCCATGAAAGTCTAAATTATGGGCATGGTTTTGAACTCAATAGGAAAGGTACAATGGTCCTCATTTGAGATTCAAATGAAAAAAAATCAATTGATATTCTTTAAAAATACACATCTATTTCAAAAGTTATTGCTCTGTCTTACAAAAAGTTACATCGAAGCCCTCAGTATGGCTCGCAACTAAAATGAAAGCGTACTTCATGTTTTGTATAAATCTGCTCCATCCCCATACTTTGTGAACCCTCCATTTCCCTTATCACCGCTACACATCTTTCGTGCGTGTTAACCACACTTAACGGAAGCTTCTTCCGAGCAATGCATCTGCTGTAACCTATTTCATTGAGGGCATTAGAAATTAAACCCTCACTGCATCCCCAGTGGCTGAAGGGCCCCATTGCTAGTTCCAAATAGCACATCTGTCGATTTTCAGGAGACTCCCGGACGAAAGCCTCAAGCTCATCAACTTGTTCCACGCTTAATTTAGATAAGCATCTTTTGCGAGTAATGGGATTCTCAGTCTCTCGAGCACACGCGAGTTGCACTTGCCTTCTTGAGAAGCCAAGTTCGTCGGATATATGTTGTAATGTCATGCCAAGTCTTCTTAATGCTCTTATTTCAATACATTGATCGCGAGTTAGATGCTTGCGAACTTTAGTTTCTGAAGCTTACTTTCGGAGAAACATTGTTTGCTAGAAAAGAGGATGAATTGATAGTGATGTTAAGCTTCAGGGACTGTTTTTTTTTTGTTCATTAACGTGCTAGATAAAGTAACTACCGTTGCACTCCTACTGGAGCTTAAGCACGGGTGGGGCCGGGCTGGATCAGGTTAACTACCATTAAGTACATCTACCTCGTCCCACCTCAGACTTCACCCATGTGTTGAATCATGTCAAGCCCAACCGTCCAGAGAACCCCCTTTTGGCGCACCGAAGCGCAAATTCTTCCTCAGCCTCGGCCACCATGCGCCCGAGTCCTTGACATCTTCATTGACTCCGAAATATAAATGCCGTCCAAGATCTCATCGTTGCTCTAGCCTTGCACTTTCATATCGTACCGTCGGGTTGTTGTCGTCATTGGGGATTTGTGCGATCCCCTCGGTGTATCTTCCCTTTCCTTCCTCCATAGTACACCTCCTGTTTCCATCATGAATTTCCTCATTAGGGCGTGTGTAGTTAGGTGACGTGACGAGTGTAGAGGTGGGTCGCAGGTGTGAGATCGGCTGAGATATGGATCGTCGCAAATATAAAAGGAGTTTGAGAGATTTCGGATGTTTGAATACGACCCCCAGATAGATCTAGGCCCATTCGTGAATCGTATGTTGGTGGTGATGAGTTTTTGTTCGAATTTGTTCCGACTGTGAAACCTCTGTCGACTGATTTTTCGACCAAAATATCGAGTGCAACTCCTGCAAGTCTAAGATCCAGCGAATTAAATCCATCCCACCCTTTTCCGTGGCTGAATCTTGGCTCTGGGAGAATATTTCACTCCCAGGTTAGTAGAGGGCACCACCGACAGGTATGCAGCCTTCGTCCTCCGCTTCAGGGACTGTGTAAGTTAGTCAGCCAAAAGCGTCGTTGACAATGTGTTTTTCTAACCGATTGTTAGAAGAAGACGATTGGACCATACTTCATGGCGAGCGGGGTAAGGAGGAGAGACAGTCTAACCTATTGCGAGCTAGGCAAGCTGCGGCTACAGGGCTAATCCCTTAAACAACCCAGTTTGAAGTTTTACCTTTTCCAACCTAGGGGCACTGTACTCCTTCTCTTTTCATAGCCAATCTATCTTCATTTCCCCAGGCTGCCTCTCTACCATTCTCCCACCTCGTGATTCCCTAGCTACTACTACAGTCAAAACCCTGTTAAGACGATATTTTTTCCAGAACGGACTTCGTTCCCATACATTTACCGATTACACGATTATCGTTCTTTTTTTTACATCAGATTTTAAATGCGTATGCAGCTATCTAGCTATGACACAATATCAAAGAAAATTACAGAAGAGATGATTCAACGTAAAGGAAGAGCACTCATGCCTCAGATTTCATTTGCAAGTACCACTGCAAAGTTATGGTGGCTTTTTCTTCACCCCAAGTCAACCCTCATCCGTGAATACCCACCCAGGGGAACATCTCAAAAACCCTGAGTTATCCAGACATGCCTCCGTCATCCATCAACTTTTCTCCGCGCGATATGTGATCTAAGGTGTCTCCTTCCCAAGTGGAGTAGGTGCCCAGGCTACTCAAACCATACCAGAGAACACCACCAGGAGGCGGATCACTACACCTTCCATTGTCTGCTTGTTTTTATAGTGTGAGCTGCACTCTCGCGAGCGAAGCCTTGGCGCGCACAAAGCTGAATTCGTAAAACTCTTGCCAAAATTCGAAATTTCACGCCCGTCGAAAACGTATCCCTCTTCTGCATCATCTTGTAAACTTGTCCTGATCCCTCTCACGTCCGTCCCAAAGAGCTATCTCCCAAAATTGTGCTCCACGCTTTGCTTCCTCCGTCGGGTATAAATATCGGCGAGGGCGTGTATTTGGTGACCGGCTGAGGCCAGAGAATGTCGACGAGAGGTGTGGTCATTGAAACGAGGATGTACTATGTCGTACTTGTAGCTTTGATGAGGCTTGGATAGGAATCGGACTCTTTGGGAGTGAAAGATTGACATGGTGGAGTAATTCGAATTTTTGCCCCGTGGGCCATCTTCTTTGATACTGCGAAATTTGACTGAACTTGGCTCTGGGAGAATATTTCACTCCCAGGTTCGTAGAGGACACCGCGTACAGGTGTTCAGTCTTGCCCTCCACGATTATCGTTCTTCAACCTCTGAATATCGTCTCAACCAGGGTTTTTTTGTTAGATTGGTGCTAAAAATGCCGCCAAAAAAAGGAAATTTCTGTGGAGCAACGATATCCTCTGTATGGCGATATTTTTCACGGCCCCGATTACATCGTCTTAACAGGGGTTTGACTGTAACAGGTATTTATAAGAGTTAATCCTCCTCCTGAATCTTCAGACTGGTGACTTGCCCTTTGGCACAATACTTCTTACCCAGCCACGTAATTCCAGGTGTCACTAAGTTGTAATAACGCTTCAGCCTCCTGACTAGTAGTGCCGTTTCGTTCAGCTTCATCTCCCCCCCATACAGCCTCATCGTAAGAATTCTTAACATCAGGCTTAGGTATCCACCTAAGCTCAAACAACGGTCAAACCGTAACAACGAGAATGTGATCTTTGGGATTGGAGAAAGGAGCGATGATGCGAGATCATAGATAAGACAAAGTCAAAAATAGCCTGCAGAGCAATAACATAGATTGCAAAACTAGAGTTCAGAGGCTTTTTCCAAACCTAAGTAGATGCTGCTATGGAGCCTTGCGTTACCTTTTAATCTATACTTTATCCCTGATGTTGTGTCAAAGCTAGCTAGCTGCAAACGCAATTCAGATCAAAGGAAAAAACTTGATTGGATTGTGATTGGGTGAAATATTAAGACCATCGTTCTCCAATTGTTATGGCGTAGTGGTATAGTCAGGGCTACCGGAAGTGGTTAAGAGCGATGGTCAAAATAAACTATGAAAGGCTGTAATTAGTGCCACCTTGTGAACTCCCGCAGATCTATTATTCTACCGACGCCGCCTAGAGCTTCTAGGTGTAACCTATCATAGATGTCACACTGTGACTGAAAAGTGTCGACAGGAAACTCGAGAGAAGTTCTCCTGCATATCCAACACATGCTAAGGGAGTTCAAGCGTCGTAGCAGAGGATATCTTGTGCCTAAAGCCGCAAATGAGACAGAGGTGGTCGTGTATTCGCTCGAACCATGCAGGTGCTGGGCCCAACACTGTCTCTCGGAGAATGGCGGAAATAGGGGTCGTGCAGTAGGAGCTGTGATACAAGAAGTTTAAAGTGTAGCATGACCGTTATCATGTAACCATGCAAGATATAAATTCAGGAGTGCTACAATGTGATACTGCTATGTCATTTTCGCATCATCTCATCTTTCGTACAATTTCAAATTAGTTTACGGGTTAGCGGCATGCCTCCACATTCGGCATTGCCCGCGCATCTGGCTGAAAATCCAATACGCCCAATTTTGGAGCGGTTCCGAGCTGAAATTGTCCAAGAGGTTTCTCGCTCGGTAGGTAAGTTCCGTTTCATAACCTAAACTGACCCATCTAACAGAGTAGCTATCAGGAGATTATTCCATAACCTGAGCCAATATTATTTGAGATTTAGTTACAAAGACAAGGAGTTACCGTACATGCCACTCGCCTTTATTTCTTCACTAATTTCGATTGAAATAAGTAATCTCTCTGTTTTTCAACATCTCATTCATGCTATCGAACAAGATTATGAGGAAGCTTTCGTCCTTCAAACTTGCATAAATCTTTGTGGAATACTATCATGCTCCATACTTTCACCGGTTCCTTTTCAACAAGTTCCATCCTCACCAACTAAAAGCTCAAGTTCAGTTCCGCAAAGTGTTCCACAGCAGTTCAACAAGTTTCCCCCCAATCCCACAAAAGTGATTGAAGATGAACTTGGCGAAAAGTCATATATAAAAATCTCCCTATTCTGGAAAAGATTTTTTGAACGACATGTCTGGTCTAAGCAAACAAGGCGGATTTGGAAGAGCTATAAAGAATATAAAAAGAACGCTGACCCCAAGTATTGCCGTCTCAACTTGGCTGAGCAAGGAATATGGGACTGGCTCGCTTCTTTTAATAATCTATTTTTGAGCCAGCTTTATGGACTTCCATCGCTACCGTCGGAGCATTTTCCTACCGTTGAAATAAAAGAAAATGATCTCCCGCTACGTGGAAAAATCTGTCTTTTAACAACCGTTGGAGGATGGGGACAAGATGAAGCTCAGGGGAAGCTTGATTTCCACATCAAAAGCATCCATCGACCTCCTGAACATGATGATTGGAAACATGTGAGGGTTGTAGGTGGCCTTTCTACGAAACCTGCAAAAGGTAGAAGAAAGGTGAGGTTCGTCCAACTGGCGACTTACGTTCGGAAAATATTTTGCGCACAACCACTCCGTCGTTTTGTGCATGGATTCTGCTTATTCAAAAATGAAATGGAATTCTGGCTGATTGATCGAACGGGTGCTTACAGTTCAGGCTTTATAAGTATTGAAGATGACGAGAAAGTTTTGGTTCGTGCCATCTGCTCATATTTACTGATGAGTGACGAAGAACTGGGTCTCGATACAACCATTCGCCAAGTCAATGGGCGGTCCGTGGTTACAATTTGTGATGGTGAGCCTGGAAATATGAGAGACATTGAGATCGACCCTATTCCCATTGTCCGAACACGAAAGCTGATATCACGTGGCACCGCTTGCTATCGCTCACTAGACGATAAATTACTGATCAAATACGCTTGGCGCGAGATTTTTGGAAAAACAGAAATTGAATGTCTAAAAGATGCTCGCCCGGTCAACGGTGTCATTAATCTGGTAGCATCAGATATCCTTCATAGATTTACTGACAATTGGGAAAATTTAAGAAGCTTGGGTCCTAAAAAATGGCACCTGAAAGAAAGAAAGCGATTACCAAGAGAACCGGATGATGCTGAGGAAGGGGAATCATACGTATCAATCGGGTTCCCTGAACAGGAACTAACAAGAGTCGTTCTTTCACCATATGGACGTCCACTTCGTGCTTGTAGATCAGTATTACAATTTCTTACTGTCATTCGAGATGCAATCATGGGGCATCAGCGTCTATATGTCGAGAAAAATATTATCCATGGCGATATCTGTGAAGGTAATATTATTATAGTAGCACCGACAGAAGATGATAGATCAAGAGGGATGCTGATCGACTTGGATAATTCACTTGTGCTCGACGACAATTTTGTAAAAGACAAAGTGCGACGTGCGGCGGGAACAGTAAAATTCATGGCGGTCGCACCGTTGAGGAACGGCCAACGCAGCATATCTGACTGGTTCAACGATTTCGAATATTCTTACATTTATGATCTGGAATCATTCTTCAATCTTTTCCTTACTGGATGTGTAGAATATGGACGCGACCCGGATCTTCCAACGCATAATTTGGATTCATGGTGCACAAAAAACATGCGTGATAACATTAAAAATAAGGAAAAGGACACTCGGTATAACTGCAAGGACCTAATTAGCAACAAATTTTCAAGTAGTTTCATTGATGCCAAGGAGTTGGCCATAGATCTGCAAAAGTTATTGTTTGAAGATGGTAAATATTATTACCGCCATTCCGACGACCCTAATTTGATGTATAACAACATCATTATGGCATTTAATAAAACCATCGGAGAGATTGAGGGTAAGCTTGATTTAATATTACAATGAAGTTCTGCTGCCTCCCACAAGAGATTTACTGACAAATCATCAAATTTACTAGCTGGGAAAATCCCAAACAGAACTTGGACTAACAATCCGGCGGCGAGAGTAAGATGAAGTATGGCGAATAGTTTTTTGTCTAGAACTAATTGCCTGATCCCTTGGCTAAGTTGAAAAGAATTGCGGTGTTTCTCAAGCACTATTGCCTGGAATAATTCCAACAAGCGTAACCCCTCAACTTCTCATGAGTAGCAGTGCAGCGATACACCTAGTGTTTTGATCCATTTAACATTGTCAAGCAAATCTGTACCCATTATTAACACGAGTTGTATGTTGAAAAACATCGTTCGAGATATTGCATATAAGAGTATTGGTAAGGTAAAACTATCGATGTCATTTTGTAAAGTAGTATTCTTGTGTAGCGATATTTTAGCGTTGCTAGGAACGTCTACAGATATATATATCTCTGCTGGTCGGGTGAAACTGTTGAATTGTACGATCTATAAATTTTTTGGCGCAGACTATATCAAATTTAATATTTACTCATTGAACAGGTCATGACATCTCTTGCGCTTCCATCAACTCTAAGCTTGACGTGTTTAAATTCTCTTCACTTGGGGTAGGATTACCCGTTGTTACTCTACATCATTTACGATTCTTGAATGTTCTCACTTTCTGAGCGAGTTAGAGTTAACTGCTTTTTGTTTTCCAGGGAAAACCCCCATTGTGGGTCACTAAAGCGGGAGGACACCTCAATTCCATAAAAATTTTACCTTATGGCAGTGTAATCCTAAAGACGAGATAACCACTACATACGCGCCCACACCGACTTTCATACCCGATAGAGGAAACACTGCGTGGAACACCAATCTTTGAAGCAGTTCTTCGAGATGAAAGTGGGAGAAACCTGGACAAATTTGCAAGATGATGCAGAGGATGGATACAACCTCGTCGCGCGTGAGGCTTCGAATCTTGGCAATGAGCTTTATAAATTGAACTTTGTGCGCGCCAATACTTTGATTTGGATGGCGCAGGCTACGTTGTAAACACCGCAATGGCTGGATGGTGCGGTGATACACTATTCAGGCCATTCTCACAAGTTGATACTAGGTAGCTTGAACACCTACCACATTTGAGACCGGAGAAAGCTGGTTCAAATCCAGTAAAACCCACACACCACACTCTCTCGCGGTGATATTGTATTTGCGGGATAATGAAAGCACACTCGGATAGCCACAGGTTTTTAACGCTTTTCCCTGTGGTGGGTATGCACGGAAGAGGTTATACGCCGTAAGGGTTAACCTCGAGTGGTATCTGCAAATGAAATCTGAGTGCGAGTGTTCTAAATGTCAAATTGAGTCATTCTACTTGAAGTACATATCTTCCGATAAACACTGCATGGGCTTCATGGTGCCAAATAAGGATAATGAATAGTTAATTTTCCTGATTTGGCGCCATGAAGCCCATGGGATTACAGACGACACCATCAAGACTCATGGTTGGATAGTCTTGTCGCACATCATCTAGATTCTTCCTACCTGAAGAGTCAGAATAGATTGGACATATATCCCGGTGAAGACAGCAAATTGCAGGTGGGAATCCCACAAATCTGAACCTTGCTTCTGATCATATCAGCGTTTATGGATGGCAAAGTCAATTTTAAACAACAAAAGGCTTTGGATGTTCATTTGGTCGGTGCTCATTGGGGAAGGTAGACTGCTCTACGAAAGTATACACACGAAATGGTAGTATTTAAAAATAAAGTCTAGCTTGTGAGTGACTTTGACGCCAATGGACTTATCTTCCGTAAATGCAAGAAAGTAATCACATATCATGGTCTTTGGCTTTGAACACATTGAATGGTAATGAAAAGGAAAAATTCGGAAACCATCTCTCTAGAAATGAACCAATATTTAATTCTTGCAACAAATGTAAATACGACACTAATTTATTGTCTTGAGAAACTGTTCGGATTAGGTCCTGGTCAACGATGTCTTGTCTAATTGTGCTATGTTGCAGGCTACTATTACAATTGTTCATGGGGTCATCATCAGGGTTGTGAGTAGTTTTGGTTTGGTGTGGGTTGGTAGATTGATACCTGAGCGTGTCGCATAGTAGTTAGACATGCGACTCGAGTAGCATATGCACGGTAAACCTCAATCCTAAACTGATGATACGGATCAAGTTTTATATGTTACGTCCTGTGTGGCTAGCGTGGTTAGAATATGGAGAGTTTACCTGTGGATAGATAAAGACGTTGTAGCCCTCTGATAGTTGGGATAAGTCTTCTACAATATTATATCGGAATCAATACTAGCCTCTCATTAAGCAATCTCATAAATTATTTCCAATGTCTGTGATAACAGACATTCACATACAATGTCGACGATCAAGTTTAAAGTCGATAAGAAACTAACTAGTGGTGTGCTGGTTGAACTTAGTATTCTGCATATTTTACAAGCAAGTTAAAGTCTCTCTTACGACATTACGGTGTCACGTCAGCTGAGTTGAAGTACCTGCTTTCCACCTAATTTATGGGTGCAATGCTATTATATCGAAACACTTTCGTGTCCAAGCCCCGTTTCTATATAAGATACGCTGTTAATTGGAGCTCAAGCTAGAGTTTGCAGCGGGAGTTAAAGGCCTCGATAACTTCACTGATTACCTTATTGGTGTGTGGTTCATCATTGGCAGCTTCGCACAAACATAGGAGATCTACTCTTTTCAATAACGACCACTACTTTTCTATCAATGTAGCTTTGAGTGATGGTTTGCACCAATAGTTTCAAGGTGTGATATAATTGTGATTTAAACAAAAATTTCAGGTCGCAAGTTCCTACCTCGTCAGCCTCACAGGTGTTAAATTTCGAGATACATGTATTCAGGATGCAAGTTGGGCTAGCCATAAATGAAAAGAAGATATACCATATCAAGTGAATAGAATGGAAAATTTTAGTCGCTGAAGTGCTCTGTATCAGGCGTCTGCTTTTTTCAATTATTCGAATTTGTTCACGAAATTCTCCTTCAAAAGCCCAAAAGCTTTTCCACCCTTGCTAATGGATCCTGTAAATGCATAAAGTCAATAAGAATCTTGCTAGATATAATTATAATGTTAATTTTTCTTCTCCGTCCAAAATCTATTCGAGATTTTTCCAGCTAGTAAAATTTATAGTCTGTCAGCTAGTCTCTCATGGTAGCAGGTAGTTCTTCGATGTAATTGTAAACTGATCTTACCTTCAATTTTCCCAATCATTCTATTAAATGCATTAGTCATCTCCTTGTACACCAAGTCGGAGTCGCGGGGTAATTTGTAACTATATCTAGTATTGCCAAACAATATAATACGAAGCTCCAGAGCCAAATTCTTGAAATCGACGAAACTGCTTGAGAACTTGGTGTTGATAAAGATCTCAAAATTCTCGTCGATATCTTCGCACTTGTTTCTAAGGATATTATCTACGTTTTTTTCCCGCCATGAGTCCAAGTTGTGCAATGGAAGATCAGGGTCTCGTCCATACTCTACGAATCCTGTTAGAAACACGTAGAAAAATGATTCCAGGTCGAAAAGATAAGACGAATTGAAGTTATAATCCCGCTTATCTTCATTTCCTACCCACATCGCCACTTGTATAATAGCCATGAACTTTGATGTGCCCACGGGGTATTTACGTGTCCTCGTCTTACAAGTATCGTGGTCCGAGATTGAACAATTTAAGTCTATTAACATCCCTCTTGATCTATCGTCCGCTGTTGGTGCCACTATAATGATATTATCTTCGGAAATATCGCTATGAATAATTTTCTTGTTATATAGGCCACGGTGCCCCATAAGTGCATCTCGTATGACAATAAGAAATTGTAATACCGATGTACAGGATTTAAGGGGACGTCCGTATGGTGATAGAACGGCTCTAGTCATTTCATAATCATTCAATACCTCATATTTATCTATTTTCTTTCCTTCAGAGTCATTTGACGATTTCTCGTGTTCCATCGTGTACCATTTTTTAGGAATAAAAGCTGATAAATCTTCCCAGACATCACTTAGTTTGTGAATTGTTTCTGATGCCACCAGATTGATTACACCATTGACCTGGAGAGCTTCTTTCAGTAAATCAATTTCGGATTTCCCGTGAACCCTGTGCCACGAATATTTGACCAGAAATTTCTCGTCAACTGAGCGGTAGCAGGTGGTACCACATGATGTCAGTTTTTGTGACCGGATGATTGGTTTGGGGTTGATCTCAATCTCTCTGGTCAGCCCGGGCTCACCATCATCAATTGTAATAATGGACCGTCCATCAACTTTGCGAATTGTTGTATCGAGACCCACTTCTTCGTCACTCATCAGTAAATATGAGCAGATGGCACGAACCAATACTTGCTCATTATTTTCGATACTTATAAAGCCCGAGCTGTATGCACCAGTTCGATCAATCAGCCAGAACTCAATAACCTTGTCGAACAAGTAGAATCCGTGCACAAACCGCCGGAGTGGTTGCTGATAAAAAGTTTCCCGAACAAAAGCTGCCAGTTGGATAAACCTAGTTCCCCTTCTATCTTCTACAGGTTTTCCGGAGAGACCACCTATCACCCGCACTTCTTTCCATCGAGGAAGAATAAAGTCCTCACAGATACTTGTGATGTGGAAATCAATCTGTCCCTGACGTCTATCTCTAGAGCATCCTCCAATGTTTGATGAAAGAGATATTTTTCCGCTCAGGGGGAGATCATTCTCTTTTCGAATGAGGGCTGGAAATTGCTCTGATGGTAGTGATGGAAATTCTGAAAGCTGGCTTAAAAACAGATTGTTAAATGAAGCGATCCAGTCCCATACTCCTTGCTCAGCCAAGTTAAGAGGTATATTTTTGGGGTTAGTGTCATCTTTATAATTTTTATAGCTCTCCCATATACGCTTTGTCTGATCAGACCAGGCTTTCCCTTCGAAAAATCTATCCCAGAAACTTGAAACACATGTAAATTTTCGGGATCTCAGCTCCAAATCAATCACTGACCCGGGAAAGTGGTCAAAATTAATGAAACGTTTTGGAACTTTGCGTGAATAGATATCCCACCTATCATTCAGTGAGGCTATAATTTTTTGATAAGGAACGAAATCAAGCACACCGTATGATAGGATTCTATAGACGTTGATGCAAGTTTGTAAAATGAAGGGATCCTCGTAGTTTTGGTCTATTGCGTAAATGATATGGTTAAAAATGGAGAGATCATATTGTTCATTTGAGATAGCTCTCTCCGTAGATTCGAAAAATATTAATGGTAATCCCTGGTGTGCACCACTCATACTACCATACGGATATAGGTCATGGAAAAGTTCTTCGAAAGCTGCTTTTTTATCTGGATATTCTTTAGTTTCCAGACGCAATATTTTCTTAAAGATTACCCTCTTTCTTGTAATTAGTTTGAAAGCGTTCCAGTATTGAGCGCAGTGGATTCTCCGCTAGAAATGCGAGAAGTGCCAAATATTTAGACATATCGTGTATATGGAGATACAAAGGAAATAGGTTCAAAATCTCAATTTGTAGGAAGAGCTTATTGGTTACAATTTATTAGACTGTTGCTGAATTTTGGTCCGGAAAAGTCACATGATCATCGGTCACAATGCTCTTTCCTCGTTTTACTATACAGATTGAATAAAATAGTCTCTTAAAATCTGCCTCAACTTCGAGCCTTGCGTTATGGATGGATGGTGCGGTATTTCTGAATGGACCTATTAGTAGCATCCCGAGAGTGGCTGTCATACATTAATGGAGTAATGAGCTTTGGGGGCTGGCTGTTAAGGTGCAGGTGTTACGCTACACGCAATCATGTAAATAGAGAATGGCCCTGCAGACCTAGCTACCGTATTGCCACGGTGTCAAGTATGTAGTGGGGCTCCGGTAGGGTTTTTAGCGTGTATGTTTAGACTCCTTAGGCATAGCCGCCTTCCAAATTAAGATTAGCCCCCGTATTTGTGCAAATTTTTGAGGATATTTGTATTGTCTCTTGAGGATGGCAATGGTAAAATTGCCAAAATTACTGGGGTTAGACCCCTGTACATATTGCCATAATTGGTATGGTCTTCATGCAGGCCCATGTCTAAATACTCGACTAGTTATGCAAGCAAGGGGTACTATCCAATGACATTCCGTGAAAGTCTAAATTATGGAGATGTTTTTGAACTCAATGGGAAAAGTACAATGGTCCTCATTTGAAATTCAAAATTGAAAAAAGTCTATTGATATTCTCTAAAAATGCACATCTATTTCAAAAATTATTGCTCTGTACTACAAAAGTCTACATCGAAGCCCTCAGTATGGCTCGCAACTAAAATGAAAGCGTACTACATGTTTTGTGTCTCTTCTCCATCCTAATACTTTGTATACCCTCCATTTGCCTTTATCACTGCTACACATTTTTCGTGCATGCTGCCAACTAGTGACAATAGCTCCTCAGAAGGTATAGAGTCCCATGCATCCTGTAGCAATGTATTCAACGTGGCAGAGCGCACAAGCCTGACCCCGTTTATCTCAGGACTCTTTACCTGAATGTGGTTTTTTAAGATATTCCACAATGACTCGATCGGGTTTCGGTCCGGAGAGTAGGGAGGCCATCTAATAGGCATTATTACAACTTCACACAGCGCCTCAATTGTTGAGAACGCTTTATGACATGGTGCGTTGTCGTGCATGTATAGAATTTCTTGTATTATCCGAGTGAAATTGATTGAAAAGTGGCAAATTCCTTTCACAAAAGAATAAAGATCTCATTGATGCCCAATCCTTCTCCCAGACTAGGAATGGGCCTTTTGGTGATCCGTAAAATGATCCCCTAAACATCCAACTGTTCCCATGAGCATGGCGAGCCACAATACAAGTCTCATCAAACTCACCATCAGGCTAAACTCTGCTGTTAGTAAAAGGAAGATTTTATTAGAATTTATACGTATTTTTATTTTGACAAGAGGTTTCACATGACAATCACCCGATACCCAGGTTTCATAAGTCCATAATATGCGACTCCATAGTTCATCGCTCCAATCTTAATGTAATTGGACGAACTCCAATCTTTTCTGCTTGTTCACTGCGCTTAACGGATGCTTCTTCCGAGAAATTCATCTGCTGTAACCTCTTTTTTTCGGTGCGTTAGAAATTAGACGTTCACTGCATCCCCAGTGGCTGAAGGGCCCCATTGCTAGTTCCAAATAGCACATCTGTCGATTTTCAGGAGACTCCCGGACGAAAGCCTCAAGCTCATCAACTTGTTCCGCGCTTAATTTAGATAAGCATCTTTTGCGAGTAGTGGGATTCTCCGTCTCTCGAGCACACGCAAGTTGCACTTGCCTTCTTGAGAAGCCAAGTTCGTCGGATATATGTTGAAGTGTCAAGCCAAGTCTTCTTAATGCTCTTATTTCAATACATTGATCGCGGGTTAGATGCTTGCGAACTTTAGTTTCTGAAGCAGACTTTTCGAGAGACAATTTTTGCTAGAATAGAGGATGAATTGATAGTGGTGTTAAGTTTCAGTGACTGTGTAGGCTAGGCAGCCAATAATGTCGTTGAAAATGTGTTTTACTAAGCGATTATTAGAAGAAGACGATTGGACCATACTTCATGGCGACCGAGGTAAGGAGAAGCGACAGTCTAACCTATTGTGAGCTAGCCCAACTGCGCCTACAGGGCTAATCCCTTCAACGACCCAGTCTGAAGTTTTACCTTTTGGAACCCAGAGGCACTATATGTGCATTTTTGCTACTTCACTTTTTAGCTTATTTAGAAGAGTTCAAAGATTTTCGAATCATAAATTAGAGCCACAGTCTTATTCTAAACTTGGATCCGAGACTTTGGCCCGAATATTTTCAGGCCTTAACATCTGGTTGGTCCTCCATCCGCATCTATCACAGCCTGACATCGTGCTGGCATACTCTGAGTGAGTCTCAAAAGATCTTTGGGTGACACGGAATCCCATTCCTTACAATCTTGCGAAGACTTTCTTGAGTTCGCTACTTTCCGCAACCCAGATTCGGATGATGACGCCGGATGTAATCCTTCATCCTATTCAAAACTACCTTAATTGGCTTAAGATCAGGCGAGTTAGCCGGCCAGAAATTAGGCTGAACAAGCCTCTGGCTCATATCTTCCATTGCACTTGCTACTGTGTGAGCAGGAGCATTATCCAGTATTACGGAATTCCAAGGTCTCATTGAGACCGTGCCATCGATAAGAGGAACTATTTTCTCGCAATATTTTTGGGAGCTAATGGATCCCCACTCGGAGGGTAAGACTGAAAACCTATACGCGATGTCCTCTACGAACCTGGGAGTGAAATATTCTCCCAGAGCCAAGTTCAGTCAAATTTCACAACACCGAACAAGTCGGCCCACGAGGCAATGATTCAAACTACTCCACCACGTCAGATTTTCACTCCCAACGAGTCCGAATCCTATCCAAGCCTCATCAAAGCTACAAGTACGACATATTACATCCTTATTCCAATGATCACACCTCTCATCGACTTTCTCTGGCCTCAGCCGGTCACCAAATACACGCCCACGCCGATATATTTATATCCGACGGAGGAAGCAAAGCGTGGCGCATAAATCTGGGAGGCTGTTCTTTGAGATTGGCGTGAGAGGATTCAGGATAAGTTAACAAGATGATGCGAAGGATGGATACAGTCTCGACGGGCGTGGAATTTTGATCTTTGGCAAGGACGTTTTACAAATTGAGCTTTGTGCGTGCCAAGACTTCGGTTGCGAGAGTGCAGGCGACACTATAAACATCGCCATGGTTGGATGGTGCGGTAGTATATCGTCTTGGTCACCCTCCCAAGTAATTTCTGGATAGCTCGAACACATATCCCACTCGAGACAGTAGATCGTTGGTTCAAATCCGGAAAAACACTGATTTTCTCGCGACGCTGATATGCATGGATGACGAAGGCGTGCTTGGATAACCAAAGGTTTTGAGATTCCCTTTTGTGGGTACTTACGTAGTGGGTCGACTGTTTGTGTAAGCAAACATACCTCATAGTGGTATTTCCAAACGAAATCCAGAGTGTGAGTGTCTCTAATGTCAAAAGAGCCATTCACATGTATACATAGTACCGGTCATGTGTCATAGCTGAATACACTTAAATGATAAAAAAAAAGGATCTCCACTCCTTCTCCCAGAATAAACAGGGGCCATTTACTAGCCCTGCGAAGCAACTACAGAACATCCAGCCGACCCTATTCGATTTTTCTACAACACAATCAGCGTTGTATCCTTGGGAAGTCTAGCTCACAATGTTAGAGCATCAAATTACCATCTTCTTATTGAGGAATGTACGAACACTTCTTGTCACCCATTCTCTAGAATATCTTCCATCCTCTACCCAAGTTTTGTCTGTCCATAAAACTGACGTCCAGTATTCACATGTCCAATGGAGATGAGCTTCGGCCCATTCTCTTCGTGTCTTCATAATTTTCTGAGATACTGGAGGCTTTAGATGAGCCACTTGTCGCTGATATCCTCTTTTTTTCAGTTCCCTATGTATTGCCCGCAGGCTAACACCAAGTTGTATAAAGGGGCCAGAGGCGAGTTCCAGAAATGTTTTGCGGCGGTTTTAAGGTGAAGACTCAACGTAAGATATAATCTGATCAACATCATCTGCTTTCAGCCTTGAGGATGTTCTTTTTCTCTTTCTGGGGAGAGAGTTCCGCGGCGCAGTGAATAACTAACTTGTCCCCGAGAAATGCCTATTTGCGCGGCAATCTGCGTCTGGTTTTTGCCAGATTCATGGAGCCCATAAATCTTAAAATTTCTTTTAATTTCAATTTGTTCATATTTAATTCGTCTACTTACTAAAATGTTTTGATCTCGGGATAATTGTTTTACTCGAGGTGTTGATGGTGGGGTTTGAGGTGGATTCATCTGCAAAATAGGGTTAGTATCGAGTAAAGCCATGTGTCTTGTGAATAAATAACTTTGTATTTGAGAAATTTAATTCTTATTATCACTCAAGCACAAGATGAGAGAAGCTGTGTAACTTATTAGCGGTCGGTGGTCATCAAAGTGATGGCAAAGAACTAGAGAGCGGGTTGGATTTGCATAAAACTGAGGGTGACATGAAATCAAATTGTGCCCTCGGTTTAGGCCTGGAAATACAGGACAAGAATTATGTACCCAGTCGAAATTGGCGCTAACAGGGGTACAACGCCTGAAGCGAATATACGCCCCTTTTAAATCAACTGAAAACTTGAAATCGTGGCACCATAGTATGTAGCTGAGATACTGGAGCCGTCATTGCGGTGTACCGATGACGTACCATTGGCACAAGATCGCTTGTCCTCGTGCGTCATTATCTTACAATAGACTATGGACTCAAAGCACGCCTGTAATTAGTATCACAGAATGCCTGATAAGTCGTTTAATCAGATGCAAGTTGATTGTCCCCTGTTCCAACCGAAAACTCCTACTGATGCTTATTCTAATTAATATTACATAATAGCACATGACCAAGACACACATCCTGTCGGTTTTTTCTAAATCATTTAATGTGTATGCAGCTATGAAGCTATGACACATGAGCAGTGCTATGTATACATGTAGGATGACTCTTTTGGCGTTAGAGACACTCATACTCTGGATTTCATTTGCAAATACCACCATGAGGTATGTGTTGGTACAACGGGGCTCACTTGGTTCAATGCTTCAAAAGTGCTATAAACAAGTGGTATCATTCTATATTCGACTTTAGTTATCTAAATATTCAGACATATAATGAATATGGTCTGTTTGTCGATTATGATGTGGCTGCGATTGCAGTTGGATGTAAATAATGTAAAGGTCTTTTTCAAGTATCTTTAATATATATATTTATTATGGAAATACCCTCCTGTGAAGTCTACTCTAATATGTACATGTAAATGCCTTTTTTTATAGATATTCCCAAAGTCAAAGATAGAGCACCTATGGCCCCTGAGATATATGTTCGATAAAGAGTTGTGACCTGCCTCCCATATTATGCGCAAGTCCGAAACTACGTTCTACCATGTCCGTCAGTTCTGTATTAAGTTTTCCAGCCTTCATTTCCGTGCACATATCCTAAAGTGTAATTTGCCCGTAGATGTATGATCAGCGGCGGAAACCTGCAGTCTAATAAACACAGTTTAGACACCATGGGAATACAGTCTAACTCTAACATTCTATCTAGTCTCCCCTCTTCTTTCTCCTCAGGCACCAATATCTAAATTACAAATCGAAGCTTGGAGCCCGAGCCAGATCACGTGATACGTTGATTAATCCTTATTGGAGTACTTATCCAAGGCAAGCCTTTAATCCCTACGCCATTCACCTATGGATCGACAGTATGCTTGCTTACACGAACAGTCGACCTTTCTCCGTAAGTACCCACCAAAGGGAATTTTAAAACCTTTGGTTATCCAAGCATGCCTACGTTAACCAGGCATACCAGCGCCGCGAGAAATGTGGTTTTGTTTTGCCGGATTTGAACCAGCGATCTACTGTCTCGAGTGGGATATGTGTTCGAGCTATCCAGACATTACTTGGGAGGGTGACCAAGACGATATACTACCGCACCATCCAACCATGGCGATGGTTATAGTGTCGCCTGCACTCTCGCAACCGAAGTCTTGGCACGCACAAAGCTCAAAATTGTAAAAACTCTTGCCAAAATTTGAAGTTTCACGCCCATGGGAACGCAGATGGCTTTCGAGAGAAGTGGTAGAGAGGAACGCGGGGAGTCGTTCTAGACTAAGTGGCCGGAGGTGACAATAGGTCACTGTGGTTGGCAGAGGGCGAGAGTGAGATGCGATTAGAATTATGTAACTATTTCTAAAGACAGAAATCAAAGCGTGACGCTCTCGGTCTCAGAAATGAAAACTACCTAACTAACTTCGCTAAGCAATAAAGCCTAGTGAAACTAAATAAGTATGCGGCTTCAAGTCTCGTATCTAATATAAAATGAGTCGCATAACGACTGCTCACAATTGTTACTAGAAATAAGACTCTTAATGAAGTATATATTGTTTCTTATCTCTTTCCTTCCTCTAGCTACAAGTGTTATGTCCAAGAATGTGGGCAGCCCTAAGTCACGGGATACGGGACCAACAAGGAACCCATGATTCCTGCCTAAGGCATTTCTCCAGAATCCTTATAGGTGGTACTGTTTGAGGGGAGTTGTATGGGAGGCATAGGAGGAGATGTTCTACTGGTATAGGTATCCTTTGTTCCAGGCTACTGCCTTGTTTAGTTATAACCGAAGTTTATCCGGTTTATCTATCGAGAAGTCTTAGAGTACATGACTAGGCTGGATCAAGAAGTTGTGCAAAGGATAACTCCTGCATAAATCCATACGTGACGCGCGGTATTGAGTAGATAAGCACGTAGTCTTCGTGGTACTTTTTTCTGTATATAGAATATAATTAATTTACGACTCACTTTCATGCGAATAGCTATTATGATTAGTCCCTTCACGTCCTTGGCCTGTAGGCAGAGAGGCCCTGAATGTCCTGCATTGTCATAGACTGAGACAGGACAATAATATGAGGATGCTTCCGACTACATTCATAATGCCCATACCTACTTTGGAGTAATCACCCCTTACTAAATTGGTCATATCTTCTAATTAATGCCCCTTCACTCTTTTACCTTATATGACAGATCATGATACTCTTCGTCTTGCTGGCCATCATCAAGCTCAGAGTTGTGGACAGTTTAAATCTTTGACACCCGATACGGCGGTGGTGGATTGCATCAAGTCTGCCCCGCATAATACAAAGAAGGGAGATAAAGATGAATATGCGGACCTCATTTAGTCCCGGTGTCTAAGCCTCGTCTAGCTGGGGCTGCAGGTTTTCCGAGACTTTTTCCGGCGCACGTAGATTCCACTGCCACCATTTTTTGGGGTAGAAATCTGCGTGGAAAAGGAGGCCTAATTCCACGGGTAAATACTGAGCTGAATGGCTATTCATCATGGGCAACATATCAATGATCTTTTAAGGAGCACTGTACAATGTGTGGCGTGGGTCGGAGAGAAGCCCAATGTGCTAGATAGTCATACACTCAAGTATTCTATAAACACATCATATAAGTAGAAGAGCTGACCTTGCCTACTAGAGAGAGATTTGCGGAGAGGAGCAATCATAGGACTTACAGAAACAACAGGTAGGGCTTGCAGCATACCCAGAATGGGCGGAACCTTAGTCTGCCCTTGAGCAAATTCGACAGTCTCAAAAACTTATTTTAGGAGATCCTTAAACTCGCAGAGCAGCTAAGTTATATCAATGCCGTCATTCCGATCGTCAAAGCAAAAGCTTCTATGAATCCCCTTTTTCCCTCCATAATTACCTGACAAGGGCCCGAAGTAGCCTTGCCGTCCAGATTCGGAGGGAGCACGATGAGCTTAATTCGGATTTGCTCCGAAGAAAAGTTTCAGGAGTCTACGATCTATGCTGTCCGTGTGGCTACCAATCTAAAAATCCCACGCACAGGATCAGCTCCTACCCGGAGTGGTTAATTGGAAAAGGTGTGATCTGGGGATAAGCCCCAAAACGATCCTTTGAAGCCATGATAGACAATCCTGGCGATATTGAAATAATTACGCAATGGATCCTTAGTCATTGTTGGCTAGAACCATTCCCCATGGCAAATTCAGTTCAAATACTGTTCAGGAACAAGATAGGACCAGCACAAGGTCGAGGTCGATACAGAGCAAGTGATTGATACACAAATACGGCACTATAGTGTGATTGTGCTTCCTGAAGGATATTTTGCAAAAGTCAAAGAAACACATCAAAAAGCTGGGAAAATATTCACCCTGAGGTTTTCCTAGATTTAAATGTAAAAAGATGGTAGAATTTAGAATAATTGGATCTATCAAGTAGGCCACGTTGTTGGTACACACGTGACTACAAATTCTGTACTTAGTTTCACTTCGGTAGTTACTTAAATCAATGCACTCTACCATCTCAGTGACTGAGGGGTCATTATTTCCTTAATAAAAAAAGGTATAAAGCCACCTGCATAAGCCCACAGGGCGCCAAATCAGGAGAATGAGATCAAATCAAGTCTTTCAGATATAAATGATCAACTTAATTATTCTGAGCAAATGTACCGATTAAATTATATTTTTTAATAGTCCCTAACAAGTCTAAGACGATGGGGGAGTTTGTGAATCTAACTAAAGATTCTAAATATATTTGAGAAATTTAATTTTAAGCTATTTAATTTGAGATATGCCAAAATTTGTTCTTAAAGATATTGAGGGAATACGGACGAAATGTACCGATATTTAGGACAACGTGCATGAAACTGTTGCAAATCTCCCTGTTCACAATATCACAATCTACCCTGGGATTTATCGTGGCATTTTTAAGCTTTTCCTATATCATCTTTTCTAAAACATGAAGTTCTGCTCCAACAAATAACAATCATTGGTGCTTAGCCGGAACTGCAAAGTCTCACATGAGTAAGTTCTGTCCCTTATCATGGTCTGAAATTTAACTATTAGCATTGCACAAGTAATATCTTAATACTTATGCATCCAATAACATTGGAATGGTATATCTGCTATTGACCAGTCAGTTTGACAACCCTATGACGATAAGAGGAACGTCCCGTCATGGAAACCATTTACGGTATTTCTTAATTTGTGATTCCTTTAGATAGGTGATATATTGGAATAGGAAGTAAAGTCGATCAAGTCAAGGGCTAAACAAAGCATTATATTTCGAAGTACCCGCATCAACATTCATTACTACAGCCGTGCTCCTACTAAAGTATCTACCAGTCTCGTGTGCACAGTGATATCGGACTAATAATACAGAATATATAAGATTTCATAAAGCATTACCCTTCCACTACTTAGTAGTCATTCACTACATTCCTAACTCCATTATGTTCGGGAATCAAGGACAATTGTGTTTGAAAATGACCCTTATAGTTTAACAGTATCCAGATTTTGCTAATATTAGGCGTCACTGAATGACGATTCCTACTATCGAGATACACATCTGAGGTTTTACAGTTTACAGATTACTATATCAATGATCAATATCAGTACATAGTTATACCATAAGTGACATCCACGAAGGAGCTTCGCGGACGCAGCTTCTTGACTCGAATAAACAGTGGGTGTGTTGAAATAAATTAAAAAAGGCAACTTACAATATCAATGAGTGTTTGGCCTCGTTGAATATCTTAACACTATTGCTGTAGAGGGCATAATTGTCCTTGTAAGATCCAATAAAGAATTCTCCGTACGGCAAGAATAAAATCTGCCTGAATTCCATTGCAAGGTCCCGAACTTTTTGAAACTTTTTCGAGAATCTCGGCAACAATTCTTGGACGAAATGAGAACTTTCAATTTCAGTTTTCTTGAAGTCGAATATCTCATAGGCTGTCCCCGTATGCCATTTTGAGAGATATTCTTTGTTCGGATTTACTCCTTCATCCCATCCACAGCTTAAGCATTGCCAGAGGAGGACATAAAAGAATGATTCGAGGTCATGTCTGTACGAATGCTCCACAACCGCGCCCGTTGTTTGGCAAATGCCACTCAAGACCTCCAGCGCCATAAACTCCAGCGCCATGAACTCCATCGTCCCGGTCATGGCCTGTCTTTTCTCTTGAGATTTGCCATCCGTAAGCAAGACGACCAGGTACAGGTCAATGACAAATCCTTTCCAGTCCTTACAAGATACAGATCCAGTCATGATGATGTTGTTTGCTGAGATGTCACGGTGCAATATCTTTGCGTCTGTCATTAATGACCAGTGCGCTTTGATCGCGTTACGTAGAACAGTAGCCAGTTCAAGTGGTGATTCGACCTCGTGAAGCGATCTTCCAAAAGGTGTTATCGCCATAGCCGAGGAGTGACGATCCCGAATCTCTGCAAACTTAACCTCAACTTCACAATAGGCTTCCACATTGTTGGCTTCAGCCTCGACATGTCCTTCTCAAGCTATGAAAGTTGCATCGCTGGCGTTTTCCTCCTGACCAGTAACCGTACCTCTTCTAGAATTATCATCAGTTGACGCATCTTCCACTGCAGTTGAAAGGTGCAATCTCTTGATCCGTCCGCTGACTTCATCGTTCTCTGTGCTCTTCCGTTTCTCCCCAGCAGACTCTATGTTTGCATCGTTGATGCCTTCAGTCTTGTCCTGGATCCATGCTACTGGGACAATTGTTTCATCTTCTTCGATGATTGCATTCAATGACACGTTTGATATTTCCTCAATACCGGTGTTTCTCGCGTAAGATGCTTGATCAATGTTAGTAGGTTGTTCCAAATTACATAAAAGGAATCTCTTACATCCATACGAAGTCTTTAATCTCTTACTTGACCGACCTGTCTCAGTTCCTGAATCTCTTGTTGCACTCTTACTTTTTCGTGACCCAGCTACACTTGTGCTCTTACTTTCACATAACATGATGCCATCAGTAAGTGCGAGCGGTGTGGCCATGGTCGTGTCGTCCGGAAGCGTATTTTTCACCATCTTGTTGGTGAATATCAGTCCCTTTCGAAGATCGCTAATCTTCACAAAGTCCCGCGAGCCAGCAAGCTTTGCCAGCCTATCCACGTCCTTTGCAATCTTGAGTAGCTTAGCCTCCGACTTGTTCCCGCACATTCTCCAAGCGAACTTCACTGCACAGTCCCCTTCCAAGGTGTGGTAGCAGCTGGTTCCCCTCGAGACAAGTGAAGTTTTTTGCGCAACTGGCTTGGGCGAAAGCTTGAATTCTCGCTCCTCCTCCGTGCCAGGAACATCCAACGTGACACAGATCTGATGAGCCTCGTATTTGATGTTTGGTTCCAGACCAAGTTCGGCGTCGCTCATCGACATGTACGCCGCCATCACATAGACGAGCGTCTGCGGCGATTTGCCGGTGTCAATGTACGAGCCGCAGTATGGGCCTGAACGATCGTAGACCCAGAGCAGAAGTGACTTATCGAAAAGCTGGAATGCATGGGTGAACCGTAGAAGGGGCTGGGCAAAAAAGAGCTCGCACATCAATACCGAAAGCTGGAGAAACTTGTCCATGAACACGTTTGTTTTGGATTTTGTAAACTCTCCGACCACCAGTGTGGCTCCTAGTCTGATGTCTTCTAGCACAAAAGGGACGTGATAACATCCGCGACTGTACTGGTGAAGGTATTCAGACTACTAGAGTGTTTTCTCTATCTAAGGTTTTACAATACAAAAGATATGTGGTGTGTGTGTGCGAGCGTGGTACGTGAGCGGTGTGTAACCTCATGGAACCTGACCAGTACATCACGCCAATGGTGTCGATCGGACGTGGGAAATTCCCGTCGCTTGATGAAGTAGTCGACTTGTCTGATTGTTTGACCACCATCAAATTCATGGGCATTGGCTGTGCTGAAATGGCTCTTGTTGAGAAAGCGCTCATCTACCTCAAACTTTGAACTTGATGCCGGCGTCGAGACATCGTAATACTTGCAGGATTGGTCGAATATTTTGATTTCAACCGTTTTCATCCAGTTATAAACCAACTTTTCCTTTGGGTGAGCAGGAAACTTCGAATTTTCTTCCCCGGAGCGCTTCAAGAAATCTTTGGCAAGGTCGATGCAATTTTTCTCCCAGATTTTGTTTGTAAAATATTTTTTCCAAAATCCTTGCACATTCATGAACACAGAGCCATGTAGTTCCCTGCTAAGCAACTCTTTCAATTCTTCCAGTTTCAGATCTTTGCTTGCTTGTGTGGTAGCTGCACGCCTGAAAACCGATTCAGCCGCGTTTTTTCTCTTTGTCCTCCTTTTCCTCTTGGAATGCTAGAATAGACTCATGCGTATCCAGAAGCCGCAAGAGAGATTTCCACACCTCTATGTCCGTGGCATTTGATAGGATAAGTGACGCCAGAGGTTCGAACGGAGCCAAGTCGAATGGGGTAGACTCAATCCGGAAGCTGAGCTTGATGAGTCGGGACTCAATATTACTTGTATTATCGGGCAACAATGGTGCTCGGCGAATATAGTTTGTAAAATTTTCAATCAAGTTTCTGATAGGGTCTAGGTGCGTCTCAGAATCTTTAGGCAACGCAAAGACCGTGTGGCAAGGTGTGGTGGAGTAGCAAGAATATAAACCCCGAAAGTTTTTCAGAATTCGTTCCAATGGATGTTGTGCAAGGTATTTCTCCATTTTATTAGAGAGCGACATGATGTACTGGAGTTGAAGCGCCGAGATATGTTCAGGAAATGAAAATAATATTAATCGTGATGATAGAATGCTTTCACCACCGTGAATTGGAAAAACTGACTGCTTTTGTTATTCGGAATCTATTTTCATTCAAGTGCGTCCGCTGCGTTATCCTGTGAGAGGGTTAGTAAGCTATCATTAGTTCAACTTTGCCCAACTTCAGGGTTCATAAACCTGACGGCCATTATTCCTTTGACGGATGAGTTAAGCCGAGACAGTATTCATGTCAGATGGTTGGTATTTAGTGCTCTGTTCTGATCTCTCAATGCATATAAGACATTCCTTCAGATGACAAGCATACATTTTGACCACATGTGGCTAACATCAGGGGTATTTTTGTTGATGACGCGTCACACTAGGCCATGCAATAAATGCTGTTTTATCAAATTTTTGATATGACCAATTTGTCTTACCCGAATGAGTGAGTGAGTCTTTATTGTCTTAAAAAGTCTATAACTATGTCAGGACATGTAGGTCCTTTCTGCCTACAGGCCGGGAGTATCTATGCCTCGGGTAGTGTACTCCCTCCATTGCCTCCCTCACGACTTCTTTTGAGCAGTAATACCCCCATAGGTCTTCATTCGAGTACATACTAAGAGGAGCCGTTATCCCGTCATTATCTCCCCTCTCCAGCCAACGAAACGACGGCCATTTGCGGGTGTGTAGCTGCAGGGAAAAGTCTCAAAAACCACTGGGTGCGGGGCTCTCCTATGACGAAGAGGCCGGCCAGCCGGATGCAGCAGACTTATGTATATCTAAGAGCGTCTCTCAACCTTCCTAGCCTCCTCCTTACTCCTTACTTCATTCATGCCGCAGGACAAACCGAATGTCATGAAAGGATGTTAGAAAAGTCTTGGTCGAGAGTAACTGTCATGAAGGAGCCTAGCCTAGCATCCAAAAGTTGTTACGGACGTGGGGTCGTCGAGTAACTTATGTACTTCAGATGCCCTCCTGGCTAGTAGATTCGGAGGTATAGATTAGTAGGGACGAAACTATTGACGAGTCGAAATCTGCTTTTCTTGAGGGCGGAAGGGTCTTTTACTTTGCTTTCGTGGGCTTTTTGCTCGCCCGCCGGTGGGTAGCATATGTTGTGATATAACGAGGGCTTCTCTGACTACCGTCGTAGCGTTTGGTTCCGCACTATCTTTCCTCATTCCTAGCATCATTATCATCGTCTTGGTCGTCTTATGTATTATGGGAAGCGTATCTTTGACGGAGGAGATAACTCAGCTCAAAGTTGATAAGGTGTTACTCAATCTCGGCTCTGCAGACTCTACAGTGAGAGCTGGAGGCTCGTAGGGGACACCACTGACAGGTGTTGAAAGTGTTGTAATCTAACGCTTTTCATCCTCGGACTTCATGGTGAGCAGTAGTTGTATAGCACGTGATGCCATGCGGGGGAGAAGGAAGAGGATGGCGAAAGCCGCTAGCCAAATCTAAGCGATCTGGCCCACTTGTAGATGGAGAAATCTTTTTTTATGTATATAGACAAAACAACCCTAACTAGTAAAACAACAATAGTAAGGAACTCATACATCCGCACCTCAGTTATCTCATACATCGTGACCCATAAACCTCACTCTCATATCTATCACTCCACGACAAAGCTTCAACAGAAAGTAGTCCCCCTACACTGTTTATCCAGTGTAAAATCCGGCATATCCTTGTCCACATCGTCTTATCTTTTCGTCCAAAGCTATTTCTACTTCTCCTACAAGCCGGAATTGTTCAAACCAGCCTTTTGCCAGGATCCATTTTTTAATTTTCTCTATATCATCTAGGCTGTTCATCATTGCCGCAAATGACCTGTCTTTTGCCTTTCGAAGCACCTTGTTTTGGATTAATCACTCCGGTGACTTTCCTTCGATACAGATAAGAATTGAGACCAATGTGCTCACTTCTTGTCTGAATTGCTATACTACTTTGGGTCCTACTAAGATTCTGCGATTATTAATTCATTTTATTGTTCTTTCTGATTCTATGACTATGTAGGATATGCAGGTCCTCTCTGCCTACAGGCCAAGGATACCTATGCCAATAGTATATTCTCTCCTATGCTTCCCATACAGATCCCCTCAAAATGTACCACCCCTCACAAGTCCTCATTCGATCATACAATTAGAGGAGCCCTTTGCCCTTCGTTCTCTTCAATTTCGGGCCAACGAAACGATGGCCATTTGCGGGCATATGGTAGCCGGGAAAAATCGCAAACCCCGCTGGATGTGGAGCTCTCCTAACATCAACATTGGGACGAAATTCTGATGCGTGGATGAGACCGACCAGCTGGGCGCTGCAGACTTGTGGTTACTTCGGGAAATTCACACTCTGCCTTTCTAGCCTCCTTCCAATTCTATCCCGAAGTGTCAAGGGATAGAGTGAATTGAGGGAAGTTACTGTCACGTGATATAGCGCGTCTGATACGCGATTCACGATGTATATATTTTTACAGGACTCAATAGGAGTCTCCCTTGTTCTTTGTAGATAATCTCAATCACTAGATTAGACCTCGTCAATCTACTTCATGACCTTTCCCTGACACGAAGGTCGTGCCCTATGGATCTGTTAGACACTGAGGGTCAAATGAAAAATGTAAAGTAAAGTTGTATTGATGAAATCTCTGCTCCTCAACTCCTATCCAGCAGTGATGCTATATACCCATCTGAAACTATTTCGAGGAGAGATTATCTTCTCCTCGTTTCCCAAATTTACATATGAAATAAATTACATGTGTTGAAGATCAAAAGATCTCAAATCAGAGCTTTGACTATCCTGAACATCCTAATCATCCTGATCACCATAACCCTCGTGAGATATCTAAGCTCGAGTGAGTACATCCGAGATGTGTCATCCCAATATCCAATGATTCTCATTACCTTATTCAGTAGGTTTTAAGCTATCAGATGTTTGAAAACTTCTGTCTGGGATCCACACCGTGGCAGTACGGTAGCCGTAGCGCGAGCTAGAGCCACAGAAATAAAACCGATCATCTATTGGCCACCTCTTCAAACTACACTTCCAAAGTGGAGGGATCGGGGCTCATCGTTATAGAGTCCGATGTGAAAGTTTGGAGGGATAGCAACACTTTGTGAAGTCTTTCAAGATTTCAATAATTTCAGCGGGAATATGTTAAATGATTTGTATTATCTGATATATCCGCTTTGCCCTCTTCAGATGTCAGGGATTGATATTCGGAAGATTTGACCAGATAAGGGAACAGAAGTATCGCAGGTCAGGACCACCATCCAGGAGATTTTTCTAATTTTAGATTTCTGGTTCTGGCATCAGTTCTGTCGTCAGCTTTCAGCGAATTTTACGCGTCGCGCCTTAACGGCGGTGAGAAGTGGTCCCGACCTGCTTCATAGAAGCTGATACATAGTGAACTTCATGCATTAGCTCCGGATCTAAACTAAGCCATAAAAAGCAACAAGTAAGCGAATGGTTTTCATTAATCCATTATCTCTACATGCATACCCACTCCACTCTCTCCCATCCACGTTTTGAACAATGATAAGAATGTAGAATCTGAGATTTGTGTGATTTAAATAGACGAGCGATACGGAGCTATCATTCAACCAATAAACTTGTATGTTTTTTTTAATCCAGAAATCGTTTCCAACGAAAGCCTCCAAATTTGCAAGGCAGCTTTACCCCTTCAATTTGACATAAATAGATACCTGAATCAAGCCTCTAGTTGTCAGGCGTAGTCAGCATTCGATTAGGACATCCTCTAAAAGTGTAAGGGTGCAGCTTATCTACAATATCAGACCTATCACAATATACTTAAGAATGTAATTGTTTGTTCTATTGTGCAGTGAGGAGTGACTAGGAAATTAATCAAACATGGAAAAGTACTGGTAAACTTTACGGGAGCCTTCTAGATAGTCATAAACTCAAATAGTATAACAAGGAAACACACATCATTATGTAGTAGCCTTTATATACGAAAATGAATTGAAATTTTATCAACTTTCAAGCAAATAAGATACTTCGGATTAAGTTAGTGTGTCGAGTTTTTTGTTTCATCGTAGAAAGGAGAAGTCAAGGTTGTCGAAAAAGCTTCAGAGGTCAATTGACCTCTGTAAAATAAGACTAGTCCCTTATAAGTTGTCCATCACAAAAAATTTGGGTTTAATCCTGGCTCACGTATTAATGAATGCGAGAAATTAATAAAATGTATCCATAATATTTATGGCCTGGGCCCGTAGAAAAGGTGGGTGAATTTCATGGGTAAACACTGAGCTGAATGGCTATTCATCACGGGCAATATATCAATGATCTTTCGAGTAACAAATGAGGTAAGGAGCACTGTAAAAGATGTGGCCTGGGTCAGAGAGGAGCCTAATATGCTCGACTGTCTAAGACTCAAATAGTCGATAAACATTCCTCTCTCTCTCTCTCTCTCTCTCTCGCTCTCTCTCTTCATGGCTAAGGCGGCCACGCATCAGATATAAATTAGACTTTGCCAATAGTTGAAGTGGTAAGTTTTATTACAAGGATTCTGCTTCCAATCATCCAATCTAAAAAGCGTTCAAGCAGAGTAGATAATTGGTAGGGAGAATAACATTGACGATGATTCACATTTGGTGTAAAGGCTTAAACTGCATGTATTTTATGATAAAATGGATGTGAGTAGATCGATAAGCTACGCTACGAGTAAAATAAATCAGGATGTATAAATCTATCAATTCCCTCCACAACTTGCTATCATCCATTCTACATCACCCAGTCACCGCACCTCCGCGTCTATCCACCATTCTTTGATATTACATTCCTACAATAGTTTCTCCTCATACACCGAATCGACCATGTCTCTCAACATCGACATCAAAGCACATCTTGCAGAGAATCCTCTCGACATAACATTAAGAAAATTTAGGCGCTTATACAGTAGTTATTTCATCACTCCATGTGAGAATGTGTTCGGAAATCCCAAAAATATAAATGAGTGTCGAGATCCCCTCGAAACCCTAATTAATGAGTTCAATTTTTATGTGGAGATTAGTTTTGTTAGATCGACCGAAGTAAAAAAGCTTAACTCACGGTTGAAAACAATAGCTAGCTGGATGAGAGTTACTTCATTTGACTTAACTCCATTTGAACCAGTTGCCAAATTAATTCTAAGCCATGCGACTGATATCGAGATTTGGAATTCACTGATGCAGCTTATTGATGAGCTTGAGACTATCATGTCAGCTACAGACGACCAGCTCGATGACCTCGCTACCAAATCTATATACAGGCTAGTTGTGGAAACGCACAATGGTACTCAAATGAATATGGAGGATCTGAAGGAAGCGATGAGTGGAGAGCTGGAAGGCTCGGTGTTTGTGAATGTGATAGGCTTTTGGGATAAATACTTTGAGTCTGAGCGGATGAAGGTTGAGCGTGATATCCTTACCAAAAAGTACGCAGAGCTTTGCGCGGATCCAAAGTTCAAATTTCCCGCTGTTCCGACTGAAGATGCAGTTTGGAAGTGGATGAAGGTTATCGAAAACGACCTATTCCAAGCATCTCGTGATCCTAAAGATTTAGCGGTGACAGACTCGATAGAACGTTATGGACACGCCTTCACGGGATCCCAATTTCATACTCTCGCAGCTGGACAGATCATTGGAAACCAAGCAAAGCGACAGGTAGATTACTTTATCAAGAGACGAGATCTCCCCATTGAGAATGAACACCATTGGAGTGATATCCTCGTGGTGGGCGAGCTGACCATTTCTTCTTCGAAAGTCTTCCGGCAAAAGTTTCTTCAGCTTAGTGTATACATGCGTGAAGTTTTCATGGCTCAGCCCCTGCGTCGATTCGTTCATGGATTTATCCTATTTGAGAGAGACCTACAACTGTGGGTGTATGATCGCTCGGGGCCTTACTCTTGTTCGTACATTGATATTGGCAAGTCACCAGAAAAGCTCGTGCATGTCTTGGTAACTTACATGTTGATGAACGACGAAGAGCTCGGTCTCGAACCCAATGTAAAATACAACGACAATGGGATGGTTGTCCATCTCAAGGTTCCCGGGTCAGGGGAACCACGCATGATCACCTTGGATCCCAAACCAATTTCCCAACAGAAAGCATACCTCTGTAGGGGAACAAGCTGCTATGTAGCTACAAACTCCAGCTGTATGGTAAAATTCTCGTGGAGAATATGTGATAGTATCTCGGAAATTGAGCTTCTTGAGAAAGCGGATAATATACCTGGCATGGTAAGGATTATCGGATCACTTGATCTGGTAAAAATAAGCCAGCTGCGCGAAGGCCTGATTTTTACCAAGACTATGGTGAAGAACCTTTGTCCAACAGAGAATGTCATGAACACGCCACATGATTATAGTGGAGAGATCAAAAGGATTCCGAAGGAAAGCGTGAATAACCAACTGGGCCGAAAGCGAAAGAGCGAGGCACTTCAAGCCGAAAAGGAGGTGGCTAGCTCAAGTAAAAGAGCAAAATCAGTACAAGAATGTAGGTAGACGCATCGTGTTGAAATCAATGTTTCAACTAACATAAACGTAGCTACAAAAACTTCACAAAGAGTGACTGGATCGCGCCCCCTTTTGTCTTCTGCTCGGTTTAACCATGGACAGATATGCTCAACTCCAACCGAGAGCAGGGTATTTATGGAGGAAAGCTCAACCCTACTAGTCAATCAGTCTATCAGTGAGAAAAGAAAAACCGTTGATGATGCTCAAGTGAACAACAGAATGAAGAGGATTCAACTGTCAAGCAACGTCAGTCTAATTGCAACTGATCATTCAGCAGGATCTAGTAGGCATCCTGGGACATCCACAAATGCACCGGACACGAGTGTCAACGTGGGATTGAGTAAATCTAAAGTTGTCAACAAATCAGTCTCAAAGTCAGGCAAAAAGTCCGCAAAAATGGTAAATGCGGAAGTCATAAACCCACGTGACCGTCAATTCACTGCTGCCGGGATTTCGCCTTACGGACGCCCAATTGATAAGTTTAGATCTGTACTAGAACTCGTTATCGGGATGAACGATGCCATAAAGGCACACCGATCGTTACTCATGAACGCGAAGATATTACATCGCGATATCTCAGTAAACAATATACTACTGACAGGCATGGAGAAGGCAGACAAACTCGGTGGTGTATTGATCGATCTAGACTTGGCGACTTTGCTGGAAGAAGGCAAAGGCCAAGATGAGGCCCGATTGATGACGGGTACCATGCAATTTATCGCATTGGATATTTTGAGAAACAGCTTTGCAGAAACAGGTACAGTTGTCACTCATACGTATCGGCACGATCTTGAGTCATTTTTGTATGTACTACTTTGGGTTTGCATAAACTGTGGATGGAAGGACGACGATAAGCCGCACGGAGACTTCTTATCTAGATGGTACATTGGGAGCGCCCAACAAATCTATGACAGCAAAGAAAACGACATGAGAAAAAGCCGAATCCGAGATCTAATTTCCAAGTTCGCGCCTAGATTTTTCGATATCAAGGATCTTGCTGAGGAATTCTGGGATGTACTATTTGTTCTGCAAAAAGAAAAACAGAAGAAGAAATCGGAGGACCCTCACAGGTTGTACGGACCTATAATTGCGGCGTTTGACAGAGCCATTCAGAAATTAAAAGTGTAAGGGAGATTTGATTCAAGTCCTTGTCTAATTTATGATACACGCATCAAAAATTATGGTTAGATGATGTATTTGAAGAGTCCAATTAATTATCCACGATTTCAAGCTTAGAGACTGACCATCTTCATAGGATACAGGAGAGACGTGCTGAAATGTTGACAACTGTTGAAATCTAGACATACCAGATCGAACTGCATGCAGTGCAATCTAGATTGGTCATGATCTCGGTAATGGGAATGTTATTTAATCACGTAATCAGAACATAATGTTTCCATCTAAACGAGGTAGAACATAGATAGATAATTAGATGTAGATTAAAGCCCAACAACTTTAAAACAAATTGAAGTTTAGCAAAACCAAAAACCTCACTGATCCTGACCTTTTATCTCTTATCCTGAAATCCCCAATATCTCACGATTCATACCGTATTGACTTGATGGTCAACGTTCACTTCTACCATTCCAGATACCCCCAAGAACTTTAATAACAAAGAGCAATCTTGAACCTATGAGGCCAAACTCGGCAAAAAACTCCTGGGATAAGACTGAATAGCGTAAGTAGTTTATTTTCAAACCTCTATTTGGCATTACCCGGTAAGTAAACTGCTGACTATTAAGACGTAAAATAATACACAAATGAAAGACTGGCCTGCAAAAAGAATGAAATATTGTCTCGAATAAGTTTAGATTCAATATCAGAAATGAGAATAGACTCAACCTACCTCAAATCTGATATTTGGGCTAAATGAAAGATAGGTGATTGTTCATATCCCATGTTAGACTAGAATAAGAGTCCGATGGAATTCGTATTCCTGACTTAATGTTTCGTCATTCATGTAAATTCCATTCTTCTAACATGGTCGTAATATTATTGTCGGAATAACATGCCAAGCTGGTACCTCACATAATTTGTGATTGCCTCAGGAAAACCTTGGCGTTTTGGGTAATTTTCAGGTAGAAAATACTTGGAGTCCGTGTGACAGACGTGGTGGACTGGTATTGAGTCGGTTTAGGATTACATCTTGGCTACAACATGTTTGGACTGTGTCCTGTGATGTAAGGAAGCTATTTCTATATATTATCATCATATGTCAGGTAGTATTATGTGTAGATATGTAAGCTGGGAGACAGAGGAAGGAAGATAGACAGATAGACAATGACATCTTTTTATTTACTTCAATTGAAAGCTCCTATGCGAGCTATTCTTCCAGACACCTCCAGTCTCAATTGTTAAAGCTTCTGAACCAGCTCAAAAGGGTCGACATCCTACAAAATAGGAGTGCCCGTGATTCGAGTAATTAGATTAAGTCCTCGAGGTTCATTGAAATTTTTGTTAAATCGAAGTTCATTTACCTGAATTGGCGCCCTGTGGGCCCGTGCAGGTAGCTATAAACACTACTTATAGATAATTTACAGGAGGTGGAAGCCCTCTGATAAAAACTCCCTACTCCTTCAGATTATTATTGAGGGTCTTCGTTAACCCATAGGAAGTGCAATGGGCCATTAGTTCGAGAAAAAACTAGCTAAAAGATCCCTCGTCCGCTTTCCCTTTTCCTCGCGTGTTGAAAATGGATGCCCGTAGTCTTGAGGTTGAACCCGATATTGCTGATAGTGGTTCTGTTGTTGTAATTCTAACAGTCTTGCATCTGTTACACTAGTCATGTACTATTTCTTTTTCGTTTCCGTTATTCGTATCATTTAATACTGCGCCACGGAGGGCAAGACTGAACACCTGTCAGTGGTGCTCTCTACGAACCTGGGAGTGAAATATTCTCCCAGAGCCAAGCTCAGTCAAACTTTGCAATACCGAACAAGTTGGCCCACGAGGCAATGATTCAAATAACTCCACCACGTCAAATTTTCATTCCAAAAAAGATCAAATCCTACCTAAGTCTCATCAAGTTTACAAGTACGACCTAGTACATCCTTATTCCAATGATCACACTTCTCGCCGACCTTCTCTGGCCTCAGCCGGTCACCAAATACACGCCCACGCCGATATTTATACCCGACTGAGGAAGCAAAGCGTGGCGCACAAATCTGGGAGACAGTTTTTTTGGGATTGGCGTGAGAGGATTCACGACAAGTTCGCAAGATGATGTGAAGAATGAATACATTCTCGACGGGCGTGGAATTTTGAATTTTGGCAAAGAGTTTTTACAATTTTGAGCTTTGAGCGTGCCAAGACTTCGGTAGCGAGAGGGCAGGCGACCCTATAAACACCACCATGGTTGGATGGTGCGGTGGTACATCGTCTTGGCCAGTCAGCCAAGTAAGGTCTGGATAGCTTGGACACATATCCCACTCGAGATAGTAGATTGCTGGTTCAAATCCGGCAAAATACAATCACTTTTCTCGCGGCGCTGGTATGCATGGATGACGAAGGCGTGCTTGGATAATCAAAGGTTTTGAAACGTCTCTTTGGTGGGTACTCACGGAGGAGGGTTGACTGTTTGTGTAAGCAAGCATACCTCATGGTGGTATTTCCAAATGAAATCCAGAGTATGAGTGTCTCTAGCACCAAAAGAGTCATCCATCATGTATGCATAGCACCGGTCATGTGTCATAGCTAGGTAGCTGAATAAACATCAAATGATTTAAAAAAAAAACTGCGCTACATCTATTTTCTGTAATATTAATTAGTCTTGACGCTTAACACAAGATATGTTGGAAATTATGGTATATGCATGATTCTGTCTTACACTCAGCGAGCTTGGGGGTCTACTGGTGGTTAAGAAATTCCTTCACCATGATAACGTCGCCATACTGGGACATGGGCGCAAATCCTGGCTTATTTTCAAATTCGTCTGACTAGGACTAGTTCCTGTGTATATATGTAGTGTTCTTCTGCTTCAGAGATCTTCAGTAAATGTAATGAACTGAAGATCTTTGAAGGTCTATTCATATCCTCTTCGTCTCACCCTACCAAGCTTCACCCTTAAGCTCTATTCAACTGCTTCGTTGTTCGGCAGATATCCATCACCTCCCAATACCATTCCTGTTAGAATTTAGAATAAATGGGTCTAAGTAGGCCACATTGTTGTTATACACATGACTACAGATTCTGTACTTAGTTTCACTTCGGTAGTTACTTGAGCTAATACGCTCTACAACCTCAATGACTGAGGGGTCATTATTTCCTTGAAAATTCCAGCATTTCTCAACGTTCCATAACCTCACAATAATAGCAACCTTGACGATGCCTCTCATAGGCATCTACTAACCAATAGCAAGACACCGGCTGGATCCATGGTGCTTGCTAGCCCATCTTTTGCTCTCAGCAGAGAATGGGCAAATTTTTCATCTGGAAGGTATGACGGACGAGGGAATGTGTTAGGATCACATTGCTTGAGTCCCACATGAGGGAACTTTCTGTCTTTTGGAGTTGTTTTTATTTTCGGGGGTTTTATTTTTTCTTTTCTGTTTAATCAGCTGCATTTTGGCAGCGATTCACGAGGTTGGAACGAGTTAGGCTGCAAGAAGGATTACAGGGAACCTTGCCGGCTCCACCGGTCCTTCACTCATTATGAATAAAGAGCTTTGACTTGGGACCTATTGATTTAAAAAACCCCCAAAAAAACTAACAGACGGACGGGTGATCAATTTCCTACGCACATCTCCCTTATTGATTAATTCCTTGTACTACCCATGATAATCTCACTGCCAATTTTAGAACCATGTATGGAACGGAGATTTGAGCAGTTCGCATGGACAATCTAATAGTCAGTCTACACTTGTAATAAGTAGAATACTCTTAAGATGCATTAACTACCTATATGGATTCCCCGTGATGAAGGACAATCAATTCAATAAACTCTGAGAGAGATTCACATTAGTTTAACTTTGCCTAACACATCCCATAACATGGGCTGAAATTTAACTATTGGCATTGCACAAGTAATATCTTAATACTCATGCATCCAATAATGTTGGAATGGTATATCTGCTATTGACCAGTCAGTTTGACAACCCTATGACGATAAGAGGAACGTCCCGTCATGGAAACCATTTACGGTATTTCTTAATTTGTGATTCCTTTAGATAGGTGATATATTGGAATAGGAAGTAAAGTCGATCAAGTAAAGGGCTAAACAAAGCATTATATTTCGAAGTACCCGCATCAACATTCATTACTACAGCCGTGCTCCTACTAAAGTATCTACCAGTCTCGTGTGCACAGTGATATCGGACTAATAATACAGAATATATAAGATTTAATAATGCATTACCCTTTCCCTCCTTAGTAATCATTCACTACATTGCTAACTCCATTATGTTGGGGAACCAAAGATGGTTATCTTTGAAAATGACCCTTGTAATTTATCGGTATCCAGATTTTGCTAATATTAGGCGTTCCCGAATGACGATTCCTACAATCGAGATACACATCTGTGGTTTAACAGTCTACTAATTACTCATAAGAAAGATACGTAGGACACGGTGTTACGTTGTAAATGTTGATTAGATAGCCGTGATGCTGCAGATGAAGTCTATGTACTGATAGTCAGGTCATGTGACCTGAATAGCTTAGTTTACATGAGTAGGTGAAATAGTTCCCCTTGAAATTTACTATATTATTAATAAATGTCGATACACAATTTTACGGTAAGTGACATCTACGAAGGAGCTTCGTAGACGCAGCTTCTTGACTCGAATAAACAGTGGGTGTGTTGAAATAAATTAAAAAAGGCAACTTACAATATCAATGAGTGTTTGGCCTCGTTGAATATCTTAACACTGTTGCTGTAGAGGGCATAATTGTCCTTGTAAGATCCAATAAAGAATTCTCCGTACGGCAAGAATAAAATCTGCCTGAATTCCATTGCAAGGTCCCGAACTTTTTGAAACTTTTTCGAGAATCTCGGCAACAATTCTTAGACGAAATGAGAACTTTCAATTTCAGTTTTCTTGAAGTCGAATATCTCATAGGCTGTCCCCGTATGCCATTTTGAGAGATATTATTTGTTCGGATTTACTCCTTCATCCCATCCACAGCTTAAGCATTGCCAGAGGAGGACATAAAAGAATGATTCGAGGTCATGTCTGTACGAATGCTCCACAACCGCGCCCGTTGTTTGGCAAATGCCACTCAAGACCTCCAGCGCCATAAACTCCAGCGCCATGAACTCCATCGTCCCGGTCATGGCCTGTCTTTTCTCTTGAGATTTGCCATCCGTAAGCAAGACGACCAGGTACAGGTCAATGACAAATCCTTTCCAGTCCTTACAAGATACAGATCCAGTCATGATGATGTTGTTTGCTGAGATGTCACGGTGCAATATCTTTGCGTCTGTCATTAATGACCAGTGCGCTTTGATCGCGTTACGTAGAACAGTAGCCAGTTCAAGTGGTGATTCGACCTCGTGAAGCGATCTTCCAAAAGGTGTTATCGCCATAGCCGAGGAGTGACGATCCCGAATCTCTGCAAACTTAACCTCAACTTCACAATAGGCTTCCACATTGTTGGCTTCAGCCTCGACATGTCCTTCTCCAGCTATGAAAGTTGCATCGCTGGCGTTTTCCTCCTGACCAGTAACCGTACCTCTTCTAGAATTATCATCAGTTGACGCATCTTCCACTGCAGTTGAAAGGTGCAATCTCTTGATCCGTCCGCTGACTTCATCGTTCTCTGTGCTCTTCCGTTTCTCCCCAGCAGACTCTATGTTTGCATCGTTGATGCCTTCAGTCTTGTCCTGGATCCATGCTACTGGGACAATTGTTTCATCTTCTTCGATGATTGCATTCAATGACACGTTTGATATTTCCTCAATACCGGTGTTTCTCGCGTAAGATGCTTGATCAATGTTAGTAGGTTGTTCCAAATTACATAAAAGGAATCTCTTACATCCATACGAAGTCTTTAATCTCTTACTTGACCGACCTGTCTCAGTTCCTGAATCTCTTGTTGCACTCTTACTTTTTCGTGACCCAGCTACACTTGTGCTCTTACTTTCACATAACATGATGCCATCAGTAAGTGCGAGCGGTGTGGCCATGGTCGTGTCGTCCGGAAGCGTATTTTTCACCATCTTGTTGGTGAATATCAGTCCCTTTCGAAGATCGCTAATCTTCACAAAGTCCCGCGAGCCAGCAAGCTTTGCCAGCCTATCCACGTCCTTTGCAATCTTGAGTAGCTTAGCCTCCGACTTGTTCCCGCACATTCTCCAAGCGAACTTCACTGCACAGTCCCCTTCCAAGGTGTGGTAGCAGCTGGTTCCCCTCGAGACAAGTGAAGTTTTTTGCGCAACTGGCTTGGGCGAAAGCTTGAATTCTCGCTCCTCCTCCGTGCCAGGAACATCCAACGTGACACAGATCTGATGAGCCTCGTATTTGATGTTTGGGTCCAGACCAAGTTCGGCGTCGCTCATCGACATGTACGCCGCCATCACATAGACGAGCGTCTGCGGCGATTTGCCGATGTCAATGTACGAGCCGCAGTATGGGCCTGAACGATCGTAGACCCAGAGCAGAAGTGACTTATCGAAAAGCTGGAATGCATGGGTGAACCGTAGAAGGGGCTGGGCAAAAAAGAGCTCGCACATCAGTACCGAAAGCTGGAGAAACTTGTCCATGAACACGTTTGTTTTGGATTTTGTAAACTCTCCGACCACCAGTGTGGCTCCTAGTCTGATGTCTTCTAGCACAAAAGGGACGTGATAACATCCGCGACTGTACTGGTGAAGGTATTCAGACTACTAGAGTGTTTTCTCTATCTAAGGTTTTACAATACAAAAGATATGTGGTGTGTGTGTGCGAGCGTGGTACGTGAGCGGTGTGTAACCTCATGGAACCTGACCAGTACATCACGCCAATGGTGTCGATCGGACGTGGGAAATTCCCGTCGCTTGATGAAGTAGTCGACTTGTCTGATTGTTTGACCACCATCAAATTCATGGGCATTGGCTGTGCTGAACTGGCTCTTGTTGAGAAAGCGCTCATCTACCTCAGTCTTTGAACTTGATGCCGGCGTCGAGACATTGTAATACTTGCAGGATTGGTCGAATATTTTGATTTCAACCGTTTTCATCCAGTTATAAACAAACTTTTCCTTTGGGTGAGCAGGAAACTTCGAATTTTCTTCCCCGGTGCGCTTCAAGAAATCTTTGGCAAGGTCGATGCAATGTTTCTCCCAGATTTTGTTTGTAAAATATTTTTTCCAAAATCCTTGCACATTCATGAACACAGAGCCATGTAGTTCCCTGCGAAGCAACACTTTCAATTCTTCCAGTTTCAGATCTTTGCTTGCTTGTGTGGTAGCTGCACGCCTGAAAACCGATTCAGCCGCGTTTTTTCTCTTTCTCCTCCTTTTCCTCTTGGGATGCTAGAATAGACTCATGCGTATCGAGAAGCCGCAAGAGAGATTCCCACACCTCAATGTCCGTGGCATTTGATAGGATAAGTGACGCCAGAGGTTCGAGCGGAGCCAAGTCGAATGGGGTAGACTTAATCCGGTAGCTGAGCTTGATGAGTCGAGACTCAATTTACTTGTATTATCGGGCAACAATGGTGCGCGGCGAATATAGTTTGTAAAATTTTCAATCAAGTTTCTGATAGGGTCTAGGTGCGTCTCAGAATCTTTAGGCAACGCAAAGACCGTGTGGCAAGGTGTGGTGGAGTAGCAAGAATATAAACCCCGAAAGTTTTTCAGAATTCGTTCCAATGGATGTTGTGCAAGGTATTTCTCCATTTTATTAGAGAGCGACATGATGTACTGGAGTTGAAGCGCCGAGATATGTTCAGGAAATGAAAATAATATTAATCGTGATGATAGAATGCTTTCACCACCGTGAATTGGAAAAACTGACTGCTTTTGTTATTCGGAATCTATTTTCATTCAAGTGCGTCCGCTAGGTTATCCTGTGAGAGGGTTAGTAAGCTAACATTAGTTCAACTTTGCCCAACTTCAGGGTTCATAAACCTCACGGCCATTACTTCTTTGACGGATGAGTTAAGCCGAGACAGTATTCATGTCCGATGGTTGGTATTTAGTGCTCTGTTCTGATCTCTCAATGCATGTAGGGGGACATCCAGGTGGTGCGCTGTCTTTCTAGGTGACCTGGCACCCAGAAGTGGATCATAGCATAAACAGGTCCGGGGTATATTAATTACGTAACGTCAGTCTAGCTTAGTGTATTGTAGTCTATTTTTTTTATATCAATGTTTTATTTATTTATCTTTATTTAACGTCTGGCGGATCACACGTCAAGCGAGTAACCCTATTAAGTCCCTACTGAGACAAAAGACGCCTTTTTTTATATCAATTAATGTGTATTTGTAAGAATTCACAGCAAAATTATGCGAAGGCCACGTGACTGTATAGAACTGAGCCAGATCGAGAGGGCAATTAATCATCAAAAGAACTCACTATATTATTCTTCTATACTACTACGAGAGTCTGATTTAATACCTCTCTCTGTGATCCCTTGTCACCCCCAACTAGTGTATGAGGCTATTCTAGTACCTTCTTCAATGCCCCCATATGCCCAATCAGTAAGTTCAATATCCCTGTTATAGATCTGCATATTGCCTATGAACTGCACCCCCGTATAATAAACTTACGTCTGCTTACAGTATTCAGATTTTTAGCTATGACACATGACCGGTGCTATGTAAAGATGTGAATGACTCATTTGGCGTAAGAGACACTCATACTCTGGAAGTCATTCGCAAATACCACCATGAGGTATTTGTTTGTTTTTTTTTGTTTGTAATTTTAAGGTCCTAAGCTATTGCTCCCGGTCCGCTATGGGTACAAGACCGGTGGAGCCGGAAGGGATCCCTGTGTTCTTTACCACAGCCCAACTCATTCCAACCGCGTGAAACCACCACCTAAATTGTAGCCGGTTTAAAACAAAAACAAATTCTAACAGTCAAAATTAATAAACAAAGGAAATTCCAATATAACGGTCCAGTATCAGCGCTCCTCACCCTGACTCCTTCCCTTTCACGGTTTCCACCATAAATATTATTCTTCGTCCATGCTGAGAGCTGTGGACAAGGTCGCAGGTTGGCTTTTGAAGCAGCCAGTTTACTGCACAAACGTTGAAAATTCTTTGAGGCATTTGGGCCCTAGAAGAATTTTAAGAAATTGTTGGTATGGGGTAGTTCCCCTTAGTCGTCGGGTATGACGAGTGTAAAGTCTGCAACGCATTTCATGCGTTGCTGTAGTCTCCTCTCCGCACGAACACTTCATGTTCGCGTTTGGGTTGTTGAAACGTCTGTGGTACGCGGCGAAATTTCCGTGACCGGTACGAGCCGCGATGACTTCAAATAGAAGTCGTCGTGGAAGTGATAGTTCCGGTGGCTTTTTCCGGCGCGTCATCAAGTCTAGTTCGCGGTATCTGGGTGGGCATGATTCGTCCCAGAATTGGTCTAGCAGTGTCTGTCTCTTCTGATTCATAAGCCGGTAGAGGTATGCACTGCTCATATTTTGCGGCTCCTCATCTCGGAGGGGGAGACTGCGGAGTTTGCTCCGAGCTGCAGCATCTGCTTCTTCGTTGCCTTGAATGCCCTTGTGTCCTGGAACCCATTTTACGATGATTCTTTCGGGAGCAGCCTGTGTCATTGTCCGAAATATTCGGGCTTCTTTAATGCTTGTCGATGTGTCTCCGGACAGCATAGCGGTTCTTGCATGCTGACTGTCGGTCAGCACGTAGATAGGTTGCGCCACTTTTCCTGGGGTCCGAGATTCCAGCCCACTTATTCGCAATGCCGCCTCTAGAGCCTTCCCTACTCCGACTATCTTAGCGTCCAGTACCTCCCCCCCATGTATGGTACCGGAATCTCTATCTATGGTCTTTCCGTCTCTTTTCAAGACAAAAGCCCACGCCGAGCGACCGTGTCCTTCTGATGCCCCATCAGAGTAGGCGCAGATCACTGAGCTTGGTAGACTCTCTATCCAGCGTTTACAAATTTCCGTGTCTTTCTCTTTCGCGCTTACCTTACTGAGATAGGCCAAAGCCGGTAAAGGCTCGGCGGATTCAGCTTCTGGGAGTTGTTGATAAGCACGCTGGATTCGAGACATTTGAATCTCTGGTCGTGCTGATTGACGATCATTTTTCTTGTACTTTCTTGTCCCAATATTAGGGCAGACAGCAGCTCGTCTTCTCAGAGGATGTCCGGAGTCAAGGGATTTGAGCCTTGCTGATAGGCGAAGTCGATTCCCCTCGAGAATGATTCTTGCCGGCGGGATCCCTCCTTCTCGCTGTAGCACTACTGTGGGCGTAGTCCTCATTACTGGATGTGCCGCCCGTAATCCTGTGCTGATGACTTTGTCAATCATGCTGCAGAGGCCAGTCGTTTGTGAAGTGCTGACTCCGCGTTGAGTTGGGCGCTTCAGGCCTGGCCACCACATCTCGGAGCCGTAAGTAGCGACAGGGATGATACATAGGTCAACCGCTCTTATCAGTGCATCTGGGGCAGCACCTCGGTAAGCAGAATTAAAACGACGCATATGATGAGCAGCTTTGGCAGCTTTGCTGCACCATTTTGTCACATGGTGTTTAAAATTGAGCCGAGAGTCCAGGTAATTTCCTAGCCAGCGAACATTTTCCGATGGTTCAATAAAGGTACTATTGACGTGTTTACCTATTCCTATCTCCCGATGGCGCCCAGGGAATTGGATTACTTCGGACTTATCTGTGTCAAAGGCTATAGCGTTATTTTTCGCTCAACTGGTCAGTTGATTTACCTCTTCTTGGACGGCTGAGGCAGAATCTACTATTGTGCGGCCGAAAGCAAGAACACCAACGTCATCGGCGTAGCTAAACCTTCGTCCCGGATTCCCATCCCGCATGGGTTCTGCCATGTACAGAAGGAATAGAAGTGGAGATATCGGTGACCCCTGTGGGACCCCACCCGTATACCTTACCTGAACTCGTCGATTAGCAAGAAAAGAGGTTGTCCACCGCAAAATTGAGTCCGGCCATCCTTGTGACTGCATTCTTCTGATTAACCGATTGTGAAGCACCGCATTGAACACTCCCTGTACATCCAAGGTAATGAAAGTAGCCACCCATCCTTGCGACCTAGCTTCTTCAATGTCGTGTACCACGCAGGAGACCAGATCTGTTGCAGATCTCTTTGGGAGCGCACCAAATTGTTGATGACCCACTACCTCGTGTGTGACTGCCAGACGCGCCATTCTTTTTGCCAGTAGCCTCTCTAGACCCTTACCCAGGCATGATAGGAGAGAGATCGGTCTCCAGCCTTTGACCGTCGATGGGTCTCGATTTGGCTTATGTAAAAGGACTACTTCTGCCAACTTGAAACATGCTGGATGTATGCCGAGACGGATGCAGGCCCTAAACTGTTGCGTCACCCATCGGCCAATTGTCTTTCAGCAGGCTTCGAGGAGCTCTACTGAAACTCCATCTGCCCCTGGTGCTGTCTTCTTGCGTCCAATGGTGCATGTACGGACTTCGTCTTCTGAGACGTCGTCATTCCAGGGTATCCTGTTTTCGCTTGGCGTTGTGCATGGAGAGAGGTCATCTGTTGACTCATGGCGCGCGAGAAGGGCGTCTCGGAGTATTGTTGCTCTTTTAGCCGGGTCTGAGACGAGCGAGCCGTTGTGGCTGAGGGGCGGCGGTGTTTTGACCTGCCTAGGGTTGGCCGAACGCATCAGCTTAAAAACATCCATGGCTGTAGTCATCTTCTGGACTTTTCCTGTGACGTAATCTTTCTTTGCTGAGACAATAGCCTCTCGCAGCAATTTCGCGTGGGTAGCCCGGCGTTGGGGTATAGTTTCTGCTCGATATGCGGCATGGATTGCCTTGCATTTGGGCGTCCACCATGGGGAGTGTTTTCCGTGTCCGTTTTTAACTAATGTGCCCGTAGCCTTGATAGCATTGGATAGATGGGAGCATAGTTCTTGAGCGTATTTTTCCACCTTGTCTATTGTATCCAATTTCGGTGGAGGATGGGCCAATTGGGCAACAGCTCGAGCGAAATTCGGCTGGTCGCCTGGTCGTACCCTGATTTTGGGCGGCTCAGTATCTAGAGCTTTGAATGTAGTTGGCACTTGACCTC